AGATGAATTTTCCCACGTTGAATTTTCCCTCACGATGAATTTTCCCTCACGATGAATTTTCCCCACGATGAATTTGCCACGATGAATTTTCCACGATGAATTTTCCGGACACCCGAATATAAAGTTAATCAAATGAGATTGAAAAGTCGAATAGAAAATAATTTAGCAGAATGTCCCCGAAAAAATGATGGTTTAGTAATATAGTTCACTTTCTTTTTAAATTTTGACAGAAATTTGGTTTCCTAAATCAGATTTCAAGTAATAATTAATTAAATCAAACAATCCAAATACATCATCTATTGCACATGATTTAATAATTAATTAAATCAAATAATCCAAATACATCATCTATTGCACAAAATAGGGAAAAATAATATTTGATCTGTATTTATTACAACGAGTTATGATTTTGTGTCTGCTTTCTAAATCAAAATAATAACAATTAGAAAAAGTTTTTGGTAACAGTCCAGCATAAAACTTTAAAACAAAACATGCACAAAGATATACGTGGAGTTTCGAAACAAACAGCATTTGTGATAGAGCATCGAATTTTGAGCAGGTAATTTTTCTCGTTGCTCTCTTCATAAACACTTGAACCGTTTTGTCAAAGATGGATAAGTTGACGCCCAGATGGTGTTGCCGTAGACAAGGTGGGGCAGACAAATGGAGCTATACAGAAGTTTTAACGTACATTTGGGAAGGAAAAATTTCACTATGTTGACTGCGCCCAAGGATTTGGATATTTTGTTTACGCAATTTATATGTTTTTTGAATGTTAGTTTATTGTCTGTCATGATTCCTAAACAATTTGACGACTCAATTTCTGTTGTAGTTTCATTGTCAACAATAATTTTGTATGGTTCTTTGTGTTTTAAATACTAAACAGGTCAAAAAACCATAAGTTTAGTCTATCTTTTTGTTGAGATTCAACCTGTTTATTTTGAACAATTGACTGAGCATCATTATTAACATCACTTACCATCACTCTCATACTTTTGCTACATTTGAAAAGGTTTTTGTCAACAACGTATGTGATTTAATCGAACCTTTCCAATGCGTTTGACAAATCGTTGATGTAAACGGCAAACAGCAGAGGCCCTAGGATGCTGCCTGGAGGGACTCCTGTTTTTATTTCTTGCAATTTCGAATCTTTTCCATTCCATCTCACAAACTGCCACCTATCACCCAAGTAATCAATTTCAAGACTTTCCCTTGTACTCCATAATGTTTTAATTTTTTGAGAAGAATTCTATGATCAACGCAGTCGAAGACTGTACTTAAGTCGAGAAAAATGCCAGTTTGTTCATTTCGTTTAGTCGTGTTAAAATATCATCAACTAAATCATAAAAATTGAACTGAAGTGGAAGGCGGTCGATAAGTGACGCAACTATAATGTTTCTGAGTTGAGCTTTGTGGATGGTTTCGACGGCATATATTTTAAATATTGGTCGGATTGAGTCAAAAATATCATGCTGTTTTTTAATATTTAACGTGTTTTTAAAAAAAGTCCAACACCTCCACCAATTTCACAAAAACTTGGATGATCGTCGGTGTTTATGTTTTTTTTTTACAGGCTTGATGCATATGATGTTTACATATGATGAACTTGATGCTTTTGCTTTCAATCATGTTGCTGTCCGAAAGATTAACGTTGCCCTCGTAGAAATTATTTTTTTATTATTTGTTTGGAAGCAACAAAGAAAGTTTTCAGCTTGTGAGCCAACTATCTTTGATGGTTTTTTTTGTTATATTGTTATTATTGGCTGATTTGCTTATTTGAGGAAGCAATCTAGTTTTATTTTTTTGTTTACTTCTTTGAACCAAAGTAAAATTTTCATCAGTTTGGCTATCATCTGATTGGATTTCATTATTAAATCTGTCTGTCCAAGATATTTTAGCATTCATAAACGAGATGTTAATAATCTCTTTTCTGTTGTTTAGGTGAATATAGTTGCTGTACGTTTTTTCAGAGTTTTTTGAAATGTTGCTTGTACTGGTAGACGTAACTGTCAGCTTGTTCAACAGTTTTATTTACGTCCAACAATTCGTTCATTTTATTTTCAATTTTATTAATTGAATTCGCTAAATTGTTTAGCAGATTGTTTAGAGTATTTTTAATATTATGAATGACGGAAGTTGGCAGATGTTGAACCATTTCATCGTCTAACACATTTTGTCTAATCAATAGTATCCAAAGTTTTATCAATTTTAGTGTTATCTCGAGATTTGTTGAACAATTTCTCTCTCTTTTTTAGAATTTCAGCTTCATTTATCAAAATTTTTTCGCAGTAGATAACTCCGCATGCAAATAAAATCCGAAACCACATTTTGCATGTTGGAGTCATCAACATTTTCAAAATATACCAGAGAACTTCTGAAATTACGATTCTCTCAGTCGGCATTTTTAAATATTATCATTTTCCAATACCATCATAAACACGATAATTACTATAAGATATATCATCACTGTCAACAAGACCGCCATCCATCATTGCTGTAACAAATTAACGGTTATCATTATTAAGATCACGAACAACATCAATTTTATTATCAGCATCATAGCCAACAACATCGACATCATCGTCACCAACATCGTCACCACCACAACCCACCCAGTGTTTCATGAACTGCGTCCTGCAGTGCCTGGCCAACACTTACCCCCTCCTCCAGCTTTGCCTCAACTATGACCTCAACAACCAGATCAACACCGAGACCAGTCGAATGCGAGGATCTCTCGTCAGAGGTTGGTTGATGAGTGGGTGGGTGGCAGGCAAGGGGGTGGTAATTGTTTATGGTCGTGGTGAATTTTTAAAGCTCTGTGTTTTAACAGGGAGTTGTTGAATGAGGGCTTCGTTTGAAGGGTGGGTGGTTTTGTATAGGCTAATTTTAGGGGTTGGTTACATGTGAAATGATATTTGTTTGTTGGTTTGTTTGTGATGAATTTTATGTGATTCAATATGACGAGCATGTTTGGTGGATTTGTTTTTCAGCATCTGAAATTTTTAAAGTTATCATCATCATCATCGTCATCACCATCTTGTTTACTTTCTTATTCATTGTTATCTTGTACACATCAATTTTATTATTTTATTTTGCATCAACATCTATATGATCTCAACTTTTTTATAGATTTTATTATTATCGATGCTATTGTTATAATAGTAGTAATTGTTACATTTTCAATATTGTTATTATTATTATATTGTTATTATTTCATTATTATTATTAAGTTGTTATTATTATTATTGTTGTTGTTGTTGTTGTAATCCTGACGACCAGCCTACGTAGATCTGACACACTCGATGTGGAAGGGGATGGACACATTTTCACCGACCACCTTCAAACAGGAGGTTTCCAGGTTTGCCAAACTCTTCGCCGGATACAAGTTTGTGTTGTTGTTGTTGTATTTGTTGTTGTTGTTGTTGTATTTGTTGTTGTTGATGTTGTTGCTGTTGTTGTTATTATTATTATTTATATTATTGTTGCTGATTGTTTTGATGTTATTGTTGCTTATATTTTGGTTGTTGCTTACGTTAGTATTACTTACATAGTTGTCTATATTCTTGTCGATATAGATGCTGATGTTGTTGTTGACGTTGTTGTTGCTGATGTTACATACATGTAGATAATATAGAACAATTGTTGTTTAGTATGTTTTATTATATTTTATAACTTTTATTTGGAATGACAATTATGAATATTATGTTGCTGTTGTTGTTGTTATTGTTGTCCTCGTTTGTTCTCATAGCAACTAACTAACTCAACATCACTCAGTCAACAAGACGCCCAAGAGTTTCTAATGTATCTTTTGCAAGGTTGGTTGTTATTGTTACGTTGTTGATTTCGTCATGTTATTGTTGTTATGTTGTTGTTGTTTTTGTGTGTTGATGTTGTTAATTTTTATTTTATTTAGAACTATTGTATTAATGATATATTTTTTGTTGCATTTCATTTGTAATTGGCCCTACAAGCTATATGCTTTGGGTTTTAATAAAAGGAGGCTTGTAGCCTTGTTAAAAAAATATATTGATAACATTTATGTTGTTTTTTTTTGTTTTTTAATATTACCTTTATCATTTTTCTCTGTTCTTATGATGTTATTGTTTTTCGCTACAGCCATATTAGCTTTGGTTATTGCTTGTTAATAAACAATAAAAATAAATAAACATAAACAATAGGCTGCCATATAAACAAAAAAAATATACTACTATATAAGCAATGATAAACATTGTGTTATTGTTTCATCTTGTTGTTAGCGTCGTTTGGCGTGGATAGTTGAATATTCTGATGTTTGCTCTTAATGTTGTTGCTGCTGCTGATGATGATGTTATAATGGGAGTCTCTATGGATAGATTGAATCACATATAGTAGTAATACAGGACAATTCACGATCTGCTTCCAGAATATTTGACAAAAAAAAATTAAAAAAAATCAGTTATGATGAGTGGTATGAGCCTCAGATCAGATGATTTTTTGCTCGTTGTTCCTAGCACTCAACTACAGACAGCATCACGAAACATCGCAATTTCGGGACCGATTTTAAGGAACAATCTGTCAAAGTCACTTAGAATGCGAAACCTCAAATTTAGAGAGTTTAAAAGAAATTTAGAAACTCATTTATTTTTGCTTTAGTTATATTGTTGACATTAACTAATCAATTTTTTGGTTTGTTTTGTTGATTGCCGTCTCATGTTTTATTTGTCTTTGCTATGTAAACTGCAGATAGCGCTTTTTAGAACTTCAACTTTTAATTAGCGCTTTATAAACATGATTATAATATAAACACACGCGCGCTAACAGACAAATGAATAAATAGACACATAGGTATGTATTACCAAATCTAATTAAATCTTTTTATTCAATTTATCAAGACAAAAGTATGAATAATTCGGAGACCAAGAAAAGAAAATGGATTCTTGTGAGCTCGGCCACTTTGTAACTTAAACTATCCTTTCAATGTTCTGATTATATAATGAGAATTGTTTATAAATCAGAACTGTCAATAAATATAAAAAAAAAGAAAGAAAAAAAAATGTGTCAATGTTAATGAAATCAAATTTTAGTCAATTATTATCCTTTAAAAACGGAATTTTCGTAATTAAATATTTTTCAGAATTAAAAAAATAAATCAACGGTTTCATTGTTCAACCACTTTTTTTGAGATTTCAGATGAATAATAGGTATTTCTTTAATCGTGTAATATTTTGATTCGTCTCTTTTGTAGTATATGTCTTCAAAATCTGTGTTTAGGTATTTCTTTAATCGTGTAATATTTTGATTCGTCTCTGTTGTAGTATATGTCTTCAAAATCTATCTTTTTTGTCACCATTATTATTTGTTTGAAGACTGTTTTTTAGCTTGTCTCTCTTTGGAGACCCAATCTCGCACTACATCTTGCGAGGGCCATATTTCTGGGTAGCGCATTTTGGTTATGTCTTCTCTATTTATACAAACTCTGAAAGCTATGGCATGTTCTGTATTTTCATCCTGATTTTGTCCCTCAGTTTTTTCTTGAAAATGAACGGTAAAACTTAAAAAAACCTGGATGTTGTTTGCTGTCAACTCATCCACCAGGTCGTTTTTGTGACATTTGACAAGATTTAAAAAACAGATTTAACAATAAGTTTAAAATCATTTAGTTTCGAGTTTTCTTTGTTTTTAACTCCATGTATAATGTTTGTATTTATTTTAACTTTCTTGTTATTTGCACCGGCAATTAAACGTGGTCTTTTCTTGGAACGATCCACAGTCATAAATGGCATCTCAGTATCACTAGTAGCCAATTCATTCAGTATTTCTACATTAATTGATGGTGTGGGCTGTGGAGTACTTGGAAGTGATGTGACTTTGGCTGACCAGTTTTTGACACCTGAAGTAATGTTATTAAGTATTAATGGCTCGCGCGACTTTACTTTGGCTGGTTTACTTTGCTGCTGCATGATATTACTCATACACATTTCGCTCCAGCATACGATTTTACGTTGCTGTTTTTACTCGCTTTAGCAAGTATGGTGGTTACATTTGCTGCAATTTAGTAAAAACTAAATTTAAAATAAACTCCAGCATCTTCGTGTAATTTGGCACTTTTCTGCTGTCAACACTTATCGTAGCTTGGTATTTTGCCCATTGATCTATTTTTTATGTAATTAATTGAAATAATGTCTAAAGAATTTTTTTTTCTTTGTTACTCTCTTGGACATTCCGTGTTAGCGGCTTCCCAGTCCGCAAGTATTTGTTGTTTGGCATTATTGATGGCATCAATAGAATAAAATGAAACAACATTAGATAAAAGTTCTTCGTTTTCAAACATTTTAAAATTATTAAATACAAAATACAATAATTTGTTCTGGACGCAATTCACGGCAGCCGCCATCTTTACCTGCCAAAAAATGTATATGTATTATACATATACAGACATACATATACACATACATACATATACAAATGCATACATGCACACATATACAAATGCATACATGCACACATACTTACATATTGTTATGATTATTGGGGTTGTATCAAAAATTAGTCTTTTTTATGGGTTCCATGGCTAGCCAACCCTATTTAACTCAACCCCATTTAAGCCAACCCCCTCCAACTCGACCCACATGCAAGTCAGCCCACATCCAACTCAACCCACATGCAAGTCAGACCACATTCAACTCAACCCCATGCATCTCAACCTCATTAATCTCAAACTCATTTAACTTATACCTCATTTAATTAGACCCTCATTAAACTGAACCCTTATGCAACCAAACCTTTGTTTAGGTCAACCCACATTTAACTTGTCCCAAATTTTACTGAACAAACAATTATCCCAACCTTTATCTTAACCCAAGGCTTGGATCTGAACCCAATCACATCTTGTCTAAAATTAAATCCAGAATCCTCAGCTCTACATTTTTAAAATGTCATTGAAGGCCTAAAACCTCTTTTCTGTTTGTGTCTAAACAATTAATGCAACATTTATACAGTACAAAAATATGGCAAAAAAAGAAAGACGGGAGATATCACAAGATTAAAACTTCTTTATTTCCATAAATATTCTTTGCATATTTAAAAAGTTTAATGAAGCTGTTATTCTAAATTGTTCATGTGATTTAACAAAATTAACAAAATTTAGCAAAAAAAGAAAGATGGGAGATATCACAAGATTAAAACTTCTTTATTTCCATAAATATTCTTTGCATATTTAAAAAGTTTAATGAAGCTCTTATTCTAAATTGTTCATGTGATTTAACAAAATTTTTTTTAAAAGTATTCTCAATTTTTAACTTTATGAAACAACTTCTCCTTGTTCTCCACAAAGTTAAAACAGTAAATATTTACGTGTAAGTTCCTCCAATCAATTAAAAACCATACTATTCTTTTTTACGTGACTTATTCTTTGGGGGAAAAATTAGCTTACTTGAAGATGGGCAATTTGTCTCAGATATCTTAGTTTATCTGGCTCTGTTCCATATCCTTGGACTTTGGCAGATAATTTTTCAGCAAGGGCTTTATACTTGTTCCTGGTTGCCTCAATTCCATTCCTTGCTTGAACAGCAACTAATCTTTGGACTCCAATGTCATTCTTGATCCCTTGAAACAATTTCCAGACTCCAGGATGATGACAAGAAAACATTGCATTCAGTGCATGATGATAGCCTTCGGAAGCATTTGTTGTTTTTGGAGCACAGGCTAGTGCATCGTTTGTACGATTCCAAAGCTCTGGGGGAAATCTTGGAGGGGTTCTTCGGTTGCACATTTGAATTCCCCTTATGTAAGTTTGGTCAACATAAGCTAAAAGTGCTGTCAGTTCGTCACCATCTGGAAACTGTTGGCAAAGCAGCTCAAAAACTTCAGTCAGCTCATTGAGTGGTACAAACGCCAAGGAACACAAACTCTTTATGAGCATATTGAGGTGTGCGTCTCTCTCATATTCCCCTTTCAAGCCTAAAGATTGAACCTTTCGCAGTATACTTTGACAGAAGTGAAAAAAACATCCTGATATATGTGCATTTGAAAACTCATGCCTAAAAGCGTTTATCGCAGCTAACTCAAAATCCAGTAATATTTGGTTTGGATTGGCAAGGGGGCAAGCTGCTTAAGATATTGAATCATTCGTTCATAGGTATCCTCTGTTTTGTCAGGTAAAAGAAAATAAAGACATGGAGGGTAAAAACTACCAACTTTTACATGAACTGTATAAAGTTGAAAAAACAATGAAGGAACACATTTAAATGTGCCATCACCAACAAACAGTTCAGATGAATCAAGGTATCTGACCATTTCTCTATCGCCTAGCACCAAAATTCGTTTGTTATCATTTTCTCCTGAATCTAAAAGAACAAGATCAGTAAATTCTTGAGGAATTGGAAAAGATGAAGACTGTGGTTCTCTTTGATCAAAATTATTCTTCTTCCGCTCTCTTCTAATAGTTCCTTCAATGGAGCTCTTTTGGGGCAATCTTGCCATAACATCCTCATTCAGGCCTCTCATTTGTTCTGCAAGGACATTTCTAGTCGAGGCATTTGAACTAGTTGCAGCATCTTTGATGTCAGACATGACTTTATCTTTTGAGTATTCAAAGGATCACCAGGATGTTCATGATCGTTAGGTTGTTTTACAATTTGTTGACCTTTGGTAGTTAACGTAACATGGCATTTTAATGAAAAATATTTTCGACATCTCCAAACAATAGAGCCATCTTGGTTAGACCTTTTGTAAAGGTACTTCATGACCATTGTATGCAAGAACGTTTCCACCTTGGTGTGATTTGTACATGGAATATTGAGCCATTTTTTGATTTTGAGAATCTGTTTGGATTTTAAAAATAAAATCTTTTATTTTTACAAAAAAATCTACTTTTGTTTATATATTTAAGAAATAAACGATTAAAGAAATAAATATTTTTTCTTACAAAACTTGTTACAACTTTTTAAATAAATAATGACTCAAACAATGAGAAAAAACTAAATAAATGTTTACTGTATGGAATAGTAATTTTTAAGTTAATTTTAATTATGCATGTGTAATTTTGACAATTGTCAAATCTGCTTTGATCTATGACTCAAGATTCATGTGTGCATATATACAGTACAACATTATTTTTCACAGCTAATACTAAGGTCTCATTAGATTTTTTAGAAATTTTTTTTAAAAAAATGAAATGAACTATTGAAATATTTACTTACCAAGTCTTTTAAATGAAACAACTTTTGTTTGGCTAAGATTGATGTTTCAAAAATTCTCAACCCAATTCAGAGAGAGACAAAATGCAACTGCATTAAAATCACAACTGCTTAGCTGAGAATTGAGAAGGCTTTACGAGATTTGTAGTCAAACAGGAGAAACCAGTATGGAATAATTCCTCAGAAACGAGAAGCAAGGATGAGCAAAAGAGACAAAAACCAATTTTTGATTATTAACTGAAACCTTTTTTTCTACCCAAAATCGATAAATTTTATACCAGTACAGATAAGTTAAAACACGTCACATGGTTCAATGGACTGGGAAAATTAACAGTGGATTTTTTACTCTTTGATTCAGTAAAAAAAATTGGGCCCAAATGAACATGGGTTGAGCTAGACAATGGTTGAGCTAAACAAAGGTTTGGTTGCATAAGGGTTCAGTTTAATGAGGGTCTAATTAAATGAGGTATAAGTTAAATGGGGTTGAGTTGCATGTGGTCTGACTTGCATGTGGGTTGAGTTGCATGTGGTCTGACTTGCATGTGGGTTGAGTTGGATGTGGGTCGAGTTGGAGGGGGTTGGCTTAAATGGGGTTGAGTTAAATAGGGTTGGCTAGCCTGGTCACCTTTTTTATGCTATGGATATTTGTTGTCATCTTAATTTTAATCATCTGTAATATCATCATCATCATCTACAACGACATCATCATCATCTACAACAACATTATCATTAACAACAACGATAACATCATCAACAACAACATCATCATCAACATCTACAGCAACAACAAAAACATTAACATCATCATCAACAACAACAACAACGCTATCATTATCAGGACTTCACGAAGACTTGAATAGAATTAAAACAAAGAAGAAAGGCAATAACAAGGCTGTTGATGATTCACTGAGGTACTGATCATGATGTTTATTGTTTCTATAATTATCATGGTGGTTATTATTATTATTGCGGTTATTATTATTATTATATTAATTTAGTTGGCGATGGTGATAATGATTTTAATGATTATCATGATAATTGTACTGATTATGATAAGTGGTAGTAGCAACGGTGGTAATAATAGTAGTAGAAGTAGTAGTAGTAGTAGAAGTAGCAGTGTAGCAGTTAAGGTAGTAATAATAGTAGTAGTAAAAGTTGTAATAGTTATTGTAGAAGTGGTAATTGTAGTAGTAGTAGCAGTGGTGGTAGTGATGTTGAGTAGGAAATAGATGGATGGATAGATAGGTGAACGAGAAAAGTTGTTGGCATCTGATCATTTCCATTGCAAATTTTTAAAGGAAATATCAATGTTTGTCGATGAGGATGATGATGATGACGATGATGTTAAGGACAATGTTGATAGTGATTGTATCAGTGATGATGATGATGATGATAATGTTAGTTTGATGATGATGGTGTCGATAATGATGATGTTGACGCCCATAATGAAATAGGATGGATATATTTTATAATTTAATTAACCTTAACTGCATTTTGTCAATTTTATTTTTTATATCAATGCTATTTAGTAATGATGATCATCATCGTTATAGTTATTATGATCAATCGATATTTGTAGTATTGGAAGTTGTGATTTTGGATGTCACTAAGGTAGCAGTACTAACAGCAGCAGTCGTGCAGTACCAGCGTGGCAGCAGTACTGTTGTTGTGTTGTCCACCAAACTGCGAGGACGTTGCGTCGCTATAAAGTGACATTCTGCCTTTTGTGAGACTGTAGATGACTTCTTATTCCAAAATCTGATGCGCATAGTTTACCACAATGGAGGCATCGAGGACCAGTTGGTTTCAATTCTCTTGATGTTACTGCATGACAGATATGTCGACGCCTCTAAGAGGCATTTGTCCATTCCAACATAAAACTTATGAGACCAGCTTTACTAATCTTCTTCCATGTATACCGACCTTTTGCTATTTTTTCAAGTCCAGCCACTGTTGTAACAATAGATATTCAGTCGGTGTAGTACATGCAATCCTAAACATATCTGTGAGAGGTATTGTTGCCACCATCATATTCCAAGAATGCTGTGATGACATCGAACATGGAAGGTCTCAAGAGTATTGTTGTGTCGACGATAGGAGTCCAGGATTCACAACTATAAAGCAGTGCCGAAATGCAGACAGCTTTGTACACAGCAATCTTTGTCATCAAAGTAATATTGTGATTTGAAAAGACACGACTCCTCAGTTTGCCAAATGCAGCCGACGCCACCCTAATGCGATTCTCAATTTCACGATCCAGACAGCAGTCAGTACTGAGCACACTACCAAGGTGCATGAATTCCTGCGAATCATTGAGAGCATCTCCATGAACTACAAAAGGTATTGCTGGTTGGTTTTTATTTATAAATCGGCGACAGTCAGAAACAAAATAAAAATTACAGAAGCCAAAACGCAGCCCTGTTTTAATCACGCTGTAGTCAGAAATTTTGACAGCCAAATCTACCCAGGATCATCCACAGCAAGTCTCTGTTGACTGTATCAAAAGCCTTCGTCAGATCGATGAAGGCAAGGAAAAGATCCTTGTTCTGTTCAAGGCACTTTTCCATCAAGTGGCGTACAGCAAAAATTATATCGGTGGTGCTATGACCACTTCGGAAGCCGCATTGCGATTCTGGAATGATATCATCAACAATGTGTTTTTGAAATAGTTTCAACGTGACAGGCGTCAGAATTTTGACAGCGGTGGAGAGCAAGTATATGCCAAGACTGTTACCACACGGTGTCTATCGCCCTTTTTTGTAGTTGGTCACGATGTTTGCATCCATCCATTGCTGTGGTGTTATGCCAGTGGTCTAAAGGCAGTTAGATAACGGGTGCCGACAACCCGAGTCATCTTGTATAAGCACCAGGAACTCGCTTTCGCCCTTTCTGCTGTTAGCATTACCCATGGGGAGCGACGAGGACGCCAGCAGCTGGACTTTATGAGCAGAGCCTGTGTCAAAAGGGCATTTCCCAGGATTTATAGCTGCACAGCTGACCAATGCAATGCAGCCCCTGGGACCAATTCTCCATTTCCCCCATAAAGCACTAGTATTGCTTTAGTAGTACTACTATTTTCCTCATAAATTACTAGTAGCACTTATTTACACTTGATATTGTGGATTAGTGGCAGCAGCATTAGTAGTAGTAGTAGTAGCAGTGTCAGTTGTATTAGTAGAATCAATCAATCAATCTTCGTTTTGCGTCCAGAGACCCGGTTTCCCGAGGTAGGACGTTGTTTTCTTTGCCATCAACTTTTTGCGCCAAATTAGACGATCAGTTGTATCCATTTCATTTAAATTTAGAGCTTTCATGTCTTGCTCGATTGTTTGCGACCAGGACTTCTTTGGACGGCCTTTGGGACGTGTGCCAGGTACTTCAACATCTGCAAGAAAAGTTATGGCACTGTTTCCACTTCGTTTGACATGACCAAACCACCACAGACGGTGTTGCCGGCTTTCGTCCTTTATATCATCTAAACCAGCACGACGCAGGATTTCGGTAGATTTGATGTGGTCCTTCAGACTAATTCGGAACATCCCCTAGATATTGAAACGATGTGATTTTCTCTATTTTAATGGCTTCAAAAACAGTGCTATTTCGAATTTGTTGTTGTGGATTGATGTAAGCAGGACAAACAAAATTGGACACTTTAGATAAAGTACCAATTATTTTTGAACAATGTTTGTGACACCACTGGTTACACTGCTGACACTTGATTGAATTGTTACCTACACCAGCTTTACAAACTGAACAGGGCCATCGTCCAGTAGCTGTGGATTGGATGGGTTCACCAGTGTTCATTGCTTTGGTTTTGCTGATGTTGACTTTGGATCCATGATCGGCGAGTCTGGTGTTCCAATCTTCAAACATCTGTGCTGCATTCTGCTCAGACGTGGCTGTTCAAACGATATCATCAACATATACTAGATTCCAAATGTCACCAGTGCGTATCGGTTTTGTGATTTCTTCCATCACAGTTATAAATAAAAGTGGACTGAGAATCGAGCCTTGGTGAATTCCAACGCCGATGTCAAATGCATCTGTGTTTCCAACCGTTGTGCTGACAAGAGTCTTAGCATTCGTATACATTTCCATCACAAGTCGAACAAGATATTCTGGAATGAGTTGTCGACGTAGACTCCACCTGATTGCTTCACGGGGAACTCGATCAAATGCTTTTTCAAGGTCTACAAAAATATGTGATAATTGTTGATGCTTTACGAGGTACTTCTCTTGCAGTTGCCGAAGGATGTGAATTGCATCAATTGTTGATTTCCCCGCTAGAAAACCAAATTGATAATTTCCGATTGTGATGCACGACGTTAATCTTCTCTCAATGATTTTTTCGACAATTTTCAGGGAGTGTTCTAACAGACGTATACCCCGATATGATGAACAGTTCAATGGATCACCTTTGCCTTTGTATAGCGGGGCTGTCATGCTATAGTTCCATTCAGTCGGCATTGAGCAATTTCTCCAGATTTCACGGCAAAGTTGTAGTAACGTTTGGATACCTGCAATACCAGATGCTTTGATAATGTCATTTGTGAGTCCAGAGGGCCCTGCTGCCTTTCCATCCTTCATAGCTTTTAGAGCTTCTGTAAGCTCCTCTATAGTGATGCCTGGAATCGGACCTTCGATGGGTGGAGCGTCAAAGTTAACATTGATGGGATTTGTTTCGTTTAACAGACGGTTGAAGTATTCTCTCCACTGTAGCTTGATCTCATCTTGTTCAAGAACCATCTCATTTTTGTCGTTTTTGATACATGAGGCACCAACTATGTCTTTTTTCGTACGCTTTGCTTGTTTTGCTATACGATACAGAGATTTCATTTGTTCACCTTTGCTTTTAGTTAGCCACTCTCTGCACTGATCTGTCCGAGCCAGTGCAACTTGACGTCTTGCATAGTTGTTCTTCTCACGGAAAATTTTATGGTCATCAACAGACTTTGATTTTTGCTATTGCTTGTATGCAACTTTCTTTTCAGCTATTGCATTTTGTACACTGTCATTCCACCACCAAGTGTCACGTTCATGCTGACGTTTTGTACCAGTTTTCCCACAAACTGTAGTTGCAGCGTTCATTAAAACGGTTTTGTATGTACTCCAATCTGTACTGGCTTGCGATTGGTGGTCTAACTGTGTGGCGACAATCTGTTGAAATTTTTCTCGATGAATATTGCTTTTCAGCTTCCACGTTTTGATTCTCCGAGGCATTTGTTTAGACTTATGTTTTGACAGTTCGACAACCAGGTTGCCACAAGGAGTCTATGTTGGGCGACACATGATTTGCCAGGTATAACTTTGACGTTTTTGAATATGTTGTTGCTTGACAGCGAAGAAATTAATTTGCGTGGCTGATGGTCCACTTTTGTATGTTATGAGATGTTCTGACCTCTTTCTAAAATATGTGTTCAGTAAACAAAACCCGTGACTTTCAGCAAACTCAAGGATGCGGTTGCCATCTTCATTCCGTTTTCCATAGCCAAAACCGCCATGTACGTTGTCAAAACCATCTGTTTTCTCTCCAACGTGACCATTGAGATCGCCTCCAATCAGGATTGTTTCAGATTTTGGTATTGTTGAGATGGTGTCAGAGAATGCACTCCAGAAGTCATTTTTCATCTCTTCTGATTCGCCTGTCTGTGGTGCGTATGCAGAAAAAATAATCAATGTTTGCTTTTCTATGCGAAGCTTGATCCACATGAGACGTGAACTAATCCTTTTAATATCCAGTACTTCTTGGGCTAGCGGTTCTCTGACAAAATTCCAACACCATTTTTGGCCGTCTTTTGACCATTCCAGAATAGCTGTATTAGTAGAAGTAGTAATAATAATAATTGCTACAGAGGGTTTGGTAATAATAGTAGCGGTAGTATAGTATTAATAGCAGTTGTGGCAATATAATCAGCAGGAATGGTAGTACTAGCTATAATAAGTAGTAGTGGTAATCGCAGTAGCAGCGGCAATAATAGTAATAATACTACTACCAGTAGTGGCAGTAGTAGTAGTAGCAGCAGTAGTATCTGTAGTATTTTCTCTATTTAATTACGTACTTTACTAACAAAAACTAATTTCTGTGTCACGAAATCTTTTCAATTAAGTTATTCAACATGTCGAATTCTGGTGGTGGGTGATGGTAGTGGTAGAGGTGTTTTTTATCAGTGGAGAGTGGAGACATTTGTGATGGTGGTTGTGGTTGTGATGATTGATGATAAGGATGATAATGCTAATAAAGATGACGTGGTTAATCATTATAGTTATTGTCTTAATGATGATGCTGATATCGAATATGACTTTGTCAGGATTATGAAAAGTGTGGCGCATAAATATGACATAAAATTTTTCTAAGGGCCAATGATTTTTATTTCTTGAGGGTCCATATAATACTTTATATCGGTTTTATTTTCTTATTTAATTATCTTTGTTATTCAAACTTCACTGACTATGTATTCTTTTGTCTATGCCTTATCTTCAGTTTATATTTTATTTCATATTATTAAAATTTTACAATATAATCAGCTAGCTAGCTCTTTTGCAGCTTTTAGCTTCCTTATCTTATCATCTCATCTATCTTTTTATTTGTTTTTTACGACTTCAATGTCTTTTTATAATTTAATTTATTATCATTATTATATAAATTAATATATCAATTTAGTATTATCAATTAAATTAAATGATTTATTTATTTATTATCGTTTACAAAAATGTCATGGATTAATTTATTATTGCCCACAAACATGCAGCAGTGCAGAGAAAGCCCTCCAGTCTTGGAAGCATCATCTCAATGTTGAAAACAGTTATATCGTTGGTAGGTTGTTGCTGTAGTTGTTGTTTTTGTTGTTGATGATGTTGTTGTTGATGCTGTTGATGATGTTGTTGCTGTTGTTGTTGCTGTTTTGTTCATGTTGTTGATGTTGTTGTTGTTGTCATTGTTGTTTTTGTTGATGTGTTTGTTGCTGTTGTGACTGCACAGATTTATTTGAAGGCCAGCTAAAAAGTGCACTAACCTGTCGAATGTGTGGACATGTTTCCAATACTTTTGATCCATTTCTTGGTCTTTCATTGCCTATTAAGAAGGTTACTTAATTATTAGTTGGTTGGTTGGTTGATCGATCGGTTGTTTGGTTGGTTGGTTGGTTAGAATTTACTTATAGAATAAGTGTGTCATTTCACAATTTTTTTTATTCTTTATAATGCAACTCTGTCAAACGCAGAGCTGCTTACATGTTATTCCATATTTACAATTAAACTTTCGTGCCACAAAGGCTGTACACTATCAACACCACACGATGTACATACACATTATGCATACACGCGCAAACACCGCATCATACGGGTATGATGGTCTTTCAGTTTCTGACAGACAGTATTCGAACCGTGCCATCGCGTAATAGTAGCGCGAGACATGGCACTTCTACTGACTGAGCTAACTCGGTGACCAATACAATTATACAATTAATATTCATCAATGCAATTATGGCTTATGGCTTAATGCAGGGGCGGGCAAACTACGGCTCGCATGTGGCCCGCCAATTCATTTTATGCGGCACGCGAGACCTTGTACGCATTTTGAAAAAAAAAATGGTCGTCAGCCACAAGTGAAAGCCTTAACAAATTTTCCCCTTCTGAAAAATGTACATATGTGGCCTTCCAAAGGCCAGATAGTTTTCAATGCGGCCCTCACAACAAAATGTTTGCCCACCCCTGACTTAATGTATGTTTGATTTGTTAAATGGTCTGTTGAGCAATTTAATTAATTTATTGTTCAACATAGAGCAATGAATCAACAAGTCAGCCATCAATCGTTAATATCACTGTCAATCATTTGTGTGCCAATCATTTGTTCACTAATCAACCAATTTATCCAACCAACTAACCAACTGACCAACCAACTGACCGACCA